GCAGCAACTTCAAAGTAAATAGTTTAAAGACCAAATCCTTGCTATAAAATCAAATCATTCTTTATAGTTTAATTAATATTTAAACAATGTTTTTCACAAATAAAATATGACTGATCTCCTTATGTAGAAATTACTTTTCAAATTTCCAATAACTGTTTTTTCTGTGTTATTGGATTATTTTGCCATATTTTGCCATATTGTTATTGGATTATTTTGCCATATTTTGCCATATTGTTACACAATGGGCCCTCATCTAGATACGAATAACAAATTGTTATTAAAATGCAGGAAAAATATACATTGATGATGGCGTTTTTCATTTTTACTACCTTCTTATTTGGAAACAGTGCTAGTTTCATGTGTAATTTGTTTATTAGCTTACCCTTTCTTGCAATCAGAATTTGGACAGTTGTAGGTTCTTTAGTTGGGATTCCTGCACTAACAGAAGCTAGATTAAGTAGTTTAAGTGATTCTTTTCCAATTCTATGATTGCTGTAAAAAATTCCTCCACTTTTTCAAAATCAAGAGCTTTGAAGTCACCATAGCTGTAGCTTCTTTTAAATTATCTTTGCTTTAGCATGTCATAAAATTATCAGTTTAAATTTACATCTATTACTTGTAAAGACTTAGGCCTTCTGTTACAATTTTCACACTTTCCCAAAAAAATATAAAACCATAACCAAAAATGTTACATCTTTCAGCTTTGCAAAATTATTTTAAAGGTTATCTTCATCAATGTAAAGTTCAGATTAACTTTTAGTCAGATGATGAAATATGCCTTTCTACATATTAACATGTTATTTATGTTCCGGATTATTTTTTAATGACTGGTTTCTTTTTAGTCAGATGATTTACTCTATAGCTAACCCAGTGCTTTCATGTGACAGATACTGCTTTGTTTTTCTTGTGTCCTAATGCTAACAAACTTAGTATGACTGTGTAATTCAGATATAATCTCTATAAATCTATAGTAATTAATGGGGTGCTTGCTCTTTCTATTGTACTAGTATAAACTAGTCCTGTTGGTGAAGCTGATCATTTTCTTTCATGCTCATCTATGAGCATATTAGATGCTTTAGAAAAATTGGGTTCATAGGAAGTCACAAGGGGAATTTTATTTTCCATAGTACTTTGGTGAGAAATTCGATTATGCTAATCTAAAACATGTAAGCTTTCATGGTAAAAACTTCATTTAATCTTTGTTACCAACATTAACAAACTTTTGGCTATTAATAGTCCTCCTGTGTTATTATTGTAAAGAGCATTGAGGAAAATTAAGTTGCCATGAAAACCTGGTACAGGGGTTGGGGAAACCAATAGACTTTGAGTGATTATAGTTCTGTTCATTGATGGGCCAGAGTCAGTTAGAAGTGCTTAAGAAAATTGAAATCAATATGCTGGGTGCAACAAGACCTTAGTGCCATAGATACAGCAAGCTTTAGAGCAGACATGTCAAACTCACAACGTCACGTGATGTCGTGCAACGTATCAGAACGGTTTTGCCATTGTCGTCAATGGGGTGGGCACGGCTTCCGGATGACTCGTCCGGCCCACGGGCCAGCAGTTTGACACCCCTCCTTTAGAGGGTTCTTTACAGGTAATCCTTGACTGAAAATCATTCATTTAGCAACTGTAAAAATCACAATGAGTAACTTATGACCAGTCCTCACATTGGTGACTGTTGCATCATGCCCATGGTCACATGATCAAAATTCTGGGTCTTGGCAACCCGCATTTTTGATGGTTGTAACGTCCCATGGTCATGTTGTCACCATTCACGACCTTCTCAGCTGGCTTCCAACAAGCAAAGTCAGTTGGGGATGCCCCGTGATTTACTTATGACCCCCTTGTTTAGCAGCAGAAATTCTGATCTCAGTTGTGGTTGTACGTCATGGACTACCTGTATCTCTTTATTCTTGTGTGGCAAATCCTAAATCAGTTTTTACTTCAGATATGAAAATTACCATGGCATTGATGGCGTGGACTTAAAAAAAACCCACTGGAAGGCTTAGTCCCTTTTCTCTTCAGGATGGTGCTTTAATGGCTGTAATGCTGTACAAGAGCTTTGATGATTCTTTGCCTGCAGATATGTGTGTGATAAAGATTCTGGTCACCCACAGATAGTCAGAGAGTTGCCCAAATAGGACATTGCAAATCCCCAGAATTTCAAACCAAACAGTAAAATTTTTATCCGAGTTTAAACTGCCATGAACTTTCCCTTTATTCATAACTGTGTATAAGATAATTCATCTTTAGAACCATTTCAAAGATTCTAAGCTCAAAAGGAACACATGCATTCCTAAAGTTTGGTTTTAAAGTTGAAATGTGACATATTTTGTGTTGTGCTGTTAGTTTAGATTGGATAAAGTAATACAGGGAGAAGTTGAATGCTGAGATGGAGCAACAGGCATTTAAACAAGAGAGCAGTTCTGGTTTTGACTGCCAGAGACAGGATCAGGATTGCTACAATGGACTAACCATCTAAAATCAGAACTAATGAGTGCAAGAAAATATATCTGAGAGAAGATATATTTTCTGCAAGAAAATATATTTGAGAATCAAGAGGTTGAACCTGATGTGACCAAGCAATTGAACATACACTTTTAGACTCCTGAGAGTAGAGACTCATACTTTTTGTGGTATTGCCATTTTTCTTTGTGACAAAACTAGAATATGCTTTTGGTTCTTTCCTAGAAAAGGCATTGGGGCAATTGCAGAATACGTTTGGTTCCAAGAAGCCTGAGTAGCCTCACTCCACACTAAAACCATATTACTGCTGAACTCGCTGGTGACCATTTGTGATTCTCAGCTTTTATGACCCAGTAGTAAAGGCAAGCATTGTTAGGGACATGCCTCATTGTGGAATTGGCCCAGATTGAAGAGAGGAAAACTGACTAGATCCATCAGAAAGAGATTGGATCACCTAGTGTATCTGTGCAACAGCCAGGTCCTCAACAGCAACAAAAGATTCTCCTTGGGCCCAAGTATGACATCCTTGTCTGGGAGAAGACTACCACACTCTCACAAGAAAAACCATTAACCTGTTGATTTGTTCACTAGTGCCCAACATTAATTCTTCACTCTCTCTCAATGCGTGTGCAAGAGAGGAACCTCTCATTTCTTTATTATGAACTTCAGATTGCATTTAAAAGTGAAAAAAATTTGATTTGTTGAGCGTTCTTTATATGCTGTTGATTTGTTTTCAGAGGCATATATATTTCTTATTTAGTTACTCTCTTATGTTGCCCCAATCTAATGCTTTGGGTCACTCATAGATATTAGCATTGTCAAATAATAATTTATTTATTTTTTTGCAGGGCCTGGCTAATTAGCAGTACGTTGGGGCTATTGTTATCACTGTTGGTTTGCTACTGTAGTTAATATTATTCATTATTCATTCCACTAAGCATTTAATGCCATTATGCATTAGCGTCCTTTTTTCTTTCAATCCATAATCATCTCTGTTTGCAAATAAAATATCAGACACAGCATGTTGCTTGTTTGATAGGCTTGGGCAAAACAAAACAAAACAAAAACTGCTGCTTGAACAAGCTAGGTAGAACAGCTCTTTTTTTTTTTTAGTTGGTGAGAATATTTTCAAAAAGGTGTTTAAAATTATCAGTTTAGGTGCAATTTGGGTAACAGGTAGCAGTCAGAATAAATTACGATATATGCCTATCAACTCTTATACCTTTGAAATGAAACATAAGGACACAATAGCCTTGGCCTCGGTTCCCATTTTTTTTTACATATGACCGGAATATACCATATTTTACATATTTTCTGCCAACATAATAATTATAGTCACTGTAACTGTTGAAATACAGCCAGCCTGTAATATTCCAGTTGGATATCCAGTTGCTGGCTCAGGAATTCTGGGAGTTGAAGTCCACGAGTCATAAAAGAGCCAAGGGTGACTACCCCTGATTCAGATGTTCCACTGATATCTTATAAAATGATCAGGAATATATATACTTGGCTCTAAGAGCAACATGGGGGCCTTGAGGTGGAGCTTTCGCCTCACAATCAGGAGGCTGTAAGTTCAATCCTAGGTATCAGCAGAATCACTCTCTCTCTCTCTCTCTGGGCGCAAAGAGAAATGATCTGTTGTGAACTCCGCATAGGCGTCAGGAAGGGCATGTGGCAAGTAAACATTCAAGCTCCATTCATCCTGACTCCACCCCGATGCAAGGGATTATAGGGTTGTTAAAACTCTCTCTCACACGCACGCACACACACACACACACACACACGGATCTGTAGATTTTCTGAGGAAAGAATTCTGATGGTGAAAATTGAGGTAGTTTTACACAGAGCTGGGCTGCTTTAACCAACAGGTCCCTGGCCTACTAATTTTTTCACAGTATGACACTGATGCGTTCTACTAATTTTTCCTCTAAAAAGGCCAGTTAGAGATACCTGTTTAGCATTCTAACTTAGGGCCCATAATTTTATTAATACACTAAAGTTATTACAGTATGAATAATGCATGCCCATTGATTTGGAGAATGAACAAAAAAATCCTAGGTGTCTACTAAGACCAGAAACTTTAAGTGGCCCAGAGGGGAAAACAAAATTCAGAACCACTGATCTAGATCAAAACAGGTCTTAAAATAGTGGCAAATTTACTACTGTAGCAGCCTCTGAGAATTCTTAATTGTAAGTTTGGAATATTTTATTTAAAAAACCATGTTTTTTTGCAATTAGTTACTAATTTTAAAATGTATTTATTAATTTGTTTGTCAACTAATAAATAAAAGAAAATATTATTAGACATGCCTTGATATATTCAGATTATTCCATGTATATATACATAAACAAATATAAATGATATAGCATCTATATAGCACACATAGATATAGCATTTCTAGCCTTATTTTGTTTGACTTGAACTATAACTGTATTTTGCTGGATTGTTTATTTTCCCAAATGTGTGGGCTGAAATGTGTTGAAAGTAGGTAATTAATCATAAATACTTTTACTTATTTTTATCTCCACAGAGCTTGGCGACTGAGCTACAGAATAACGTGAAAGAGATGCGAACACGAATCAGATGTACTAAAAAAATGCAAGAAGATAAAAAATGTGGTGGTAACATTTCCAAAGAATCCGTTCACCGAGCTCAGTCCTTGGCAGCATCAATCCTTAATATTTCAAAAACTGATTTAGATGAGATTCTTGATGTTGTAAATGATGAGGTAAATTATACTAATTTGTCTAAGAATTAATTTCAAATCTTTCTTTTGTGCAGAGTACCATAAATCAGTGGGTTAAGAAATATCAAATTCTTTTAGACTTGTTTTACTTTTTAATATGTAATCAATCAATTGATCTGAAGTTGTCCTTAGTTTACTTAAATAAGAATCTCATTTTCTTATTTCTTTTTATCTTGCTAGTATTGAGCTAGTATCCATTCTCAGATCTCAATTCTCCTGTTATTTTAGCCACTGAACTTTCAGAGTTCCATATGCTGCCAAAATAAGTGTTTATTGCCATCTGCCTCTTATTGATAAATTCCCTTTATAGGGATCGTTAAAAATCACTCCCCATATCTTAAGTCAGTCAGGCCTCCACTGCTATCTAAATGTGGGATATCAATGAAGCATTTTTTGATACTATTGTGAGCCCTACTGCTCACTAAATCTAATTTTGATCTCTTAAGACAGGGATAGGCAGTTCAGACTTACACAGTCTATTGAATTTTTTTGCTACAGCTTCAAGTTTCATTGACCTGGAAAAAGGTGCAAAAAACATACACTTAGAATTAAATACTTTTGAGCCCAGGAATTTGTTTTGAGTGCCAGAATAAATTAATTGACCTTACAGTCCTTCCACACAAAAATTTGCTTTCCCCTAAGTTTCTTCATTTTCAGCAGTATAATTAGGAAACTGTGTCAAAAGATTTGCTATTGTTATACAGCAATGAATTAGAAAACAAAACTCGTCTATTACAAATCATGGATCTATAAATCCTGGCTTACGTTCTGCCTACATCTGCTTTAAGCAATTTTAACTTCTATATTCCTATGCTTAAATTCCAGCTAGGTGGCAGTAACAAGCTAATCTTAGTTTGATCTTTAAAAACTAAGTGGAGTCAGGCATGGTTGGAAGGGAGATCACCAGGAAATCTTAAAGCTAGGTTAGGAAGTTGAAAAAAATGTTCTAAAAATCTGCACTGGCAACTTTTTGTATTGTTACCGAATACACTATGGATGTATCCGCAACCTCACTGCAGAAAATCGTTGTTTTTTATATGTTAAAGTGCCCAAACTCTGAACATCCTTCATTTTGCAATTAAATTAGATGGCTGCTGGTTTGTAATTGCTGACAAAATACAGAACGATTGAGCTTCATCAATTGGGGAGTTAAAATCAAGCTGAGACTATAGGACAGTTGTGAAAAAAAAACCAGTCCAGAAATTGTCAGGGAAAGAGATTTTTTCTTTTCCTGCTTTTTATCCATTTTTTAAGAATTGCTGCTATCAGATAGGGTGTTCTTCTGGTCAAGTGGTGTTAATACCAACTTCACTGTAACATAATTGACAATTTTTACAGGATTTTCTTTTACTTTTTAGGAAACAGAACAGATGAAAATGGAATATGAAAGTGACAAAGAATGGTTGGGCTATTTACAAAAACTTCTGGAAGGACAGGTACTCAACATTGACTTTTAACAATTATAACAATGGCTGTGGTTTATATAGTTCATGTTGACAGATACTTATTTAATAGACCTGTGCAAATAATTTAGTACTTGCTGTATTAGAAGTTTCACAAGGGCTTTGAAGCACCTTACACTGAACAGCTGCTTTAGGGAGTAGATCAGAGAGGCCTTCATTTAAATAACCTCCAGAGGCCTATTATTTAATGAAAGAAGCCTTATCTCCCTCTTGGTCAAAAAAAATGGCTGTGATTAATGACAGTGATGGCCCACTTGTTCAGTTTGAAAGTTGGAAGGGATAATTTTCTCCACTGTAATTAAGTTACTTGGGTGGGGGATACTCTGAATGACACCATCACTCATGTTGGACAGGTTGGTTGAAGAGATCCTGAGCTCTTGTAACAAAGAATTTAATGGCGGCCAGGCCCAAGGCATTCGAGAGTTCCTCATTCTGCTCCTTTCCCTATTGATAGGTTCTCATTTTGTTAAGAAATGGAAAATTGTCACAGGATATTGGTGTTACTGCAAATATCTTTTGAGTGATGTACTATTTTCTGATGGAAGAAGCTCCTATCTGTTTAGGAAACATTTCCAAAGATGGATGCCTGGTTGAAAATATTACAATATTTTTTATCCATTTCATCTGGCAGGTGCCACTTTTGCTAGGAACTCAGAAATCATAATAAGGCTATAGTCTCTGACATGGGTTTGCCATTTTCCAATAAAAAATGTCTGGGAAAAACATGTCCTGGCTAAGCCAACAGCATTACTCAAAAGCCATTAATTTTCTCTTCAATCACCCCTTGTTTGCGAATCAGAGGAATACTTGCCATGAGGGCGTCTTACCTTCCTTATCCAGGAAGGCAAAGGAAGTGAAGTGGAGGGGGCTGGAAAAACAGTCAGGTGCAACCCAAGATCCATTGGCTAAGCATCCCAAAGCTAGGGAAAAAGAGAATGAGTTGAAAAAAGTTTTGGATCCCTCGAAAGAATTCACATTAATATGAGAAGTGCAGGTACAAATTGGATTAATGAGTATCAAACTTGTTTAAACTAATTTGTAAATTATCTTTATTCAATTTATTAATCAAAATGCTTTTTCTTGTTTGTTTGTTTTTTCCATTTAAAAAGTACTCCAAATTCAAGTGTATTTTGTAAGCATTTTTTTTCTGATACTCTGAGAGGTTTTGAGTGAGATGGAGGGACAGGTTAGCGCTATATTTGTTTGAGCTAACTTTACAGATAGAAACTGAAACATCGAGGGATACAGGCATACATCTTGGCAAATGTATTAATTCAATTATTGAGCTCATCTGTATCCTTGGTGGAGAGAAAAGGATCCATCCTCTCATCTGTCTTTGGAAAAAGAGATTTTTTTTTATTATGTGCCTTTAAAGTTAGTAGTTGATATGGACACCTGAGGAGTTCATGAGTTTCAGTGACCTTTTACTATGGACCTGTTTCCAGTCAATTCATGTTTTCCTCACAGCCAGACAGCTGTTTATTACCATGTCTTCCCGCATTCTCTACAATATTTTCTACTGAGACCTCAAGCAGCTTGTTAGTGGGAAGTAAATATTGATTTGGCATCCTGTCAATGCAGAAAGAATGAAAAAAATTCCACCAGAGGCCCCTCAAACATTTTCCTATCGACATTTTCTGGGCAGAGTGGAAAGCTGCATAGAGGATGACAAGGCTGAGACTAGTTGAAATCCCTGAGGGGTCCACGGAGACCGCCGCTGTGACCTGTGTGATACTTTTTCTTCTCTTTCAAGTCTTTTTTTTTAATACACACACAGTCTGCTGGGAGGCACCCCTCTTGTAAGTGATCAAGGGCAGCTTATTGGCAGGTGAGAGCCTGCTTTTCTAGTTATAGCGAGGCAGCTTTTGTTTCAAGATGGCTGACAACACATAAACTGGATTTTGAAACTTCTGTCGACTGTAATGCATTTTTCATTTTCATTTTGTTAATGGGGTGGTCGACTTTGAAAGACAAGTGCTTTTAAAATATGCTCATGACAAACATCTTGATACTTAGTGCGCTGATAGCACCAATGTCGTTTCTGCTCAGGAATTATGAATAACCAGCGGTGATTAGTAGAAAACCTGTTTGTATCGGCCAGATGAGGATAGAACACGTGTTTCCTTAGTTGAAAATTTAGAGTTGAATCTTATGTTACGGCTGCTATTTATTATCAAAATATTTTTGCTAAGGAAGTGTCAATAACTTGATGGTCAACAAATTTTGTTAATGTGACTTCAACTGGAAATAACAATTGTACAATTGCATTCTAGAGTTGATTCACATGTAAACCTGATTACTCTTAATTGTGGTCAAGAGATTTGGAGCAAATACATTTGGAGCAAGTGTATCAGGAGCAAATGCTTCTCCTTACTTGGTTAGCATACAGATTGTCACAGTGCTCTAACTTTCCTCTGTATTACTACTCAGTTGTCACCAATGTTTACAGTGGCTAATGCTAAATAAGATTTGGGGTCCAAGACAGAACTTATTAGGGGTAACATTGATGCTGATGTAGTGATCTTTAATCAGAACCTTAACATTGGAAAGATGATCTACTCCAACTTCCTCAGTAGAATATCTTTGAAGGATTACTTCTCACCCTCTGTTTAGAAACCTCCAATGGAGAAATTACCACTTTGTCAGGTAATATTTTTATTTATATAGTCAGGAAGTTCCTTCTCTTTTTTACTATGATTCTACTTCCTTGAAGTTTCAATCTGTTTGTTCTGGAGCAATAGAAGAAAAATCCACATCGTCTCCTATGTGACAACTTTTCAGATATTTGAAGATTGTTTTATCTTCTCAGCCCATGTTTTTGAAAGCTAAAGCCTTTAGCTGTGAATCTCCCATAGGGGTTGGTTTCCAGATTTTCACCATCTTGATAGCTGTCCTTTGAACTTGCTCTAATATGGCATGGTCATTTTTGAATTGTGGTGCCTGGAACCGGTCACAGTATTCCAAGTGGAATCTGACTAACTCAGAGTAAAGCAGAGAATTATTTCTTGTGATCTGGTTTCCATGCTTTGTAAATGACATAAGAAAGAAAAGGGATACGTAGGAGGATGCTCTCATTTTATTTGCTCTGCCTTTTAGCCAAGGTTCTTAATTATCCAGAATTACATTTGCACCAGTACTTGAGCATGAGGCATCTGGATTTGTTCAGATATAAGGGGCACTCTCCATCATATTATTTTGAACTTCTCACCATAGCAAAAACATTTAGATTGTCAAACATTTAGATTGTCAAACTTAATTCACTAGAGCGTTAAGTTTTTGATTGTATTTGATTTTATTTCGCATAAACACAAATGCGAATTTTGGAGTTTAAGCCTAACTTTGTTTGGCTTTTAATGTTTGCAAGTACTGTAAATACTGTTCACATTTTATTTTATTTTACAGCCCTTAAATCGCCCTTATCATGGCTTGCCATAGGAAGATAAAAACCGTTCAGTTCTGTACATAAAGAAAAGTATTTCCTAAGAAACAGCTCTGAATAAGAATAAAATGGCAGGAGGAGGAATCTGAGGGAGATGGATTTTTTTTATATTTATGAAAATAAAGGTGACATGATGTGTTGAGAGGCTTTACAGTATGCATCAGCCCATTTTTCTGGAGAGCCAGAATCGTTTTACGTTCTTGGCAAGTGCTGTCTGGGAAGGGACTTCTTGCTTTCTCTGTGGGGACTACACACTAGCTAAGAAGCTGAAAAAATCAGAGCTTCTCTTTATGATTTAAAATAACCTATTCAAAACATTTACACGTTTACATCAGCTTTGTGATATGCTGGGCTTCCTCTCTGTTCCCCCACCACCATTTCTTTTTTTTTTTTCCCCTTACAAAATGCCTTGCAGCAAAGTACATGAGATCACTTAATTCTGAAGTTTGATATAGTGTCTTCTTGTGACATCAAGCCTGGCCTCTGGAACATAATTGCCCAACAGTATTGATTTAATTGCCTAGGTTTATTTGTGGACTCCTAATTATTGACTGGAGGTAAATTTAATGGAGAAACCTTTATGAACACAGGGAAACTGCTGCTGTGGCTGTTGTACATAAATGAACAGCATCACATCCCTTTAGATCATTTTTCAAGCTAATTTTATTCCACTGTGACAGTATGATAACATTTAAAATGTCATAGACATTTTATTTTTATTGCTGACATGCACCGTTTTAGTGCTACATTAGAATTTGGGAGGGAGAGGTTTCATGTGAACACTAGTTGTTCTTTATTGTCATTTAAAGATTCCCCAGGAGGATAATAATAAATCAAGCCACACCTCAGGTGTACATTCCCTTTCCACTTGAATTTTCTATACTGTTGATACTGAGGGGGATTAAACTCACCCCCTATTGCAGTTGGTAATAATAATATGTTGGGGAGCAAATATATCTGATAACTGCTGAACAGATATACTAATATCGATATATATGTTTGTGTGGTTTTTATCTTGCTGTTCAGACATACCGAAAAGAGATTTCCAGAACAAGTCATAAAGATGAATAACAAGGTTCTCAGGAGTATTATCTTAAAGAGAAAAAGGATTTGGAGTGAGGAGGAAGGGAGTAAAAGAGTTTCATCTAATAATTACGGTATAGGTGGTATAGGTACAGTCTGGCAGGGAATATGTAAAACATGCTGTCTTGAGAATAGGGTAAACAGTCAAGGTCCATCAACCACCCGGTCTTCCATAAAAGGGATCTGGTGACACAGCATCTTAACCAGAAAGTTGGAATCAAAAAATGTTTGTCCCTATTTGTTGCAGTCAGTTTTGCATAACTTAAGGGTGGGAATTGAAGCAGATGGCCTCTGAGAAACAAACAACTACCACACCATTTTTAAAAAATCCCATCACAATAATAAAAAACGGGATCAGGCTGGTTTCTTTCTTGTTGTGAAGTTCTTTCTAGGAACATGGGCCTTCCAGACAAAGTGGAGGCGCCCTGAGTGTGCTATCCTGCTTTTGTTT